CATGATAAGAGTGTTGTCACCTCTTCATGGCAGGATCACCGGGGGGTTTACAAGTAATGACAGTGACATGAACATGACAAAGCTTGGTGCGGGGGATAACATCTACCTGAACAAGCCCAGGGGATCTCACGATTCGTTGGAATGGAGACAGCTGATTGGTTGTTGCCATATATAGAGATAAACATGATTGCTGCAGGAGGAATGAATCCCCCGAGGCGGGGGATTCTAAAAGTGAGACCATTGAGACTAAAAGTGATGGGAGATCCAATATTTTAGAGTTGTCACTTTAACAGGAAGAGAGGGGAGATCTTCCAATGGGGACACACCTAAGAGGGGATTCCCCTCACCGTGGAGAGATCTCATCTTATTGGCTGGGACAGGAAGAGAGGGGAAATCTTCCAATGGGGACACACCTAAGAGGGGATTCCCCTCACCGTGGAGAGATCTCATCTTATTGGCTGGGACAGGAAGAGAGGGGAAATCTTCCAATGGGGACACACCGGTTCTAAGAGGGGATTCCCCTCACCGTGGAGAGATCTCATCTTATTGGCTGGGACAGGAAGAGGAGACATGGGACCGACATTACAAATCCCTATGATCCCCGTCCCAGCAAATCAGAACCAGTCTTCCCATTATCACCAGTATGAGTTCACCAACCCCACAACGTACACCCGGGTGTAGCACGGCGGTGACAACAATAGATTAGGAAACCCATTTCCATCTCCTCACCGCTGATCTACCAATGTGGAGAGAATTGGGTCGATGTACAGTGCATGCACCCCTGGGGGGGCCCCCGGGGGCCCCTGAGCTGATAACAAAGGCTTCATATGACAATAGCTGAGAAGGGTTACCTCGGGGGCGATGTAGTCTGGGGTCCCGCAGAACGTTCGGGTCGTCACGCTCTCCACCATGTGCTCCTTACACATCCCAAAATCTGCAATCTTTATGTGACCTTCAGCATCCAACATGACGTTATCTAACTTCAGGTCCCTGTGGGGGGGATGGGAGCCGGTCAGTTCCAGTCTGATAGGACACTCGGAAGGTGAGGCGGCTGCAACTGGGCGGGGTTTTCCGTACTCACTGTAAAGTCCTTTTCTCACGGTCCATTGAGGGACATAGCTTGAGGACAGTCAAGAAACCTGCAGGGGGCAGTATAACCTCAATGGCCGATAGAGAAAAGGAGTCACATCGGTAAAGCCCAACTCTAGATGTAACACTTCC